AAAAAAAAAAAAAAAAAAAAAAAAAAGAACTAATCATAAGGGACTTCCCTGGTGGTCCAGACTCCGCGCTCCCAATGGAGGGGGCCCAGGTTCGATCCCTGGTCGGGGAACTAGATCCCACACACATGCCGCAGCTAAGAGTTTGCACGCCGCAACTAAGAGTCTGCATGCCACAACTAAAACCCGGCACAGCCAAACAAATAAATAAATAAAACTCATTACAAGATCTTACCTCTCTCCAACCTCTTCCAGCTGCTACTTTTCACTCTCTCTGGCTAATTTTGGGCTGAGCCAGGCAGGAGCCCTCAGCTGGGCTGGGCATGGATCTGTGCCCCAGCACCCTGGCCCCCCTTCAGAATCACCTTCACTCCCCCTGCCTGCAGCCCACCAGAGTCTCCAAGCCAAATTAGGTGTGGAGTCAAGACTGGGCTTTCATGCCTCAGTTCTGCCACTTCGTTCTTGAGAGACTTTGGCCAAAAGATCAAAACTCTAAGCCTCAGTTTCCCCACATGTAAAATGGGGGGAATAATTCCTGCTTTGCCGACTTCACAGGGCTTCTGGGAGCCTCAAGCAAGGTGGATATACGATCTCACTTGTCTAACTGCCCACTAGTGTAGGGACCTCTAGTAAGAACAACTCTACAGTGTTTTTTCGTTCCCTCCAGGCTCTTGCGATCAACCCATAGCCAGCCAACCTCTTCCAGGGCCCAATCCTCTCTCCATCCTCTCAGCCATGCAACCCTCTTGACCACATCCTTCTAGAAATCCTTTCTCCCTCTGCCTTCCCAGATGTGCTCCTTCTGTCTCAGATCACTCACTCTCCAGTTAGGACCTGGCCCAAGCAGCAGCTCCATGCTTTCTCCTGCCCTTCACATCTGCCCACCACACACGGCCTGAGACAGGCACTGCAGGAAGGACAGGCCCTACACCAGCTCCCTGGAGAACGCCTGGGTGCGGTTTCCCCTGGGACACAAAATGTAAGCACACTGCCTCAGGTCTCCACCCTGCTGCCCTCGCCTCCTCTCCTTTAGGAGACTGTTTGACAATAAAGCCACAGCCCAAGTCCTGGCAAGAGCCACAGCCTGACCCTAGGCAGCTGAGGTCTGTGGCCTCCACGCCAGCGTTGAGGCAAGGTGAGCAGATTAGTTCCTTGGCTGGAAATTTCAATGACATATTTTCACTTCCCCTTTTTAGAACTGTTTTTTTGATGTGGACCATTTTCAAAGTCTTTATTGAATTTGTTACAATATTGCTTCTTTCTTTATTTTTTCTTCTTATTGCTTCTGTTTTATGTTTCGGTTTGTTGGCCGTGAGGCATGTGGAATCTTAGCTCCCCGACAAGGGATCGAACCCGCACCCCCTGCATTGGAAGGCAAAGTCTTAACTACTGGACTGCCAGGGAAGTTCCTGCAAGGACTTTTATAAATAATTGAGTTAAGTATACTAAATGATGACCCCTTTGCCTTCAGTCCACAGTCCAAATGTACATTCCTTTTTTTTTTTTTTTTTTTTTCCGGTATTGAAGTGGAGTGGAGAAGAAACGGGCATAACTCACCTACTCTTGATAAATGTTTAAAACTAACAACACTTTTTAATTTATTTTAATTAATTAATAAATTCATTTATTTATTTTTGTGGTACGCGGGCCTCTCACTGTTGTGGCCTCTCCCACTGCGGAGCACACGCTCCATTCGCGCAGGCTCAGCGGCCGTGGCTCACGGGCCCAGCCGCTCCGCGGCATGTGGGATCTTCTCAGACCGGGGCACGAACCCGTGTCCCCTGCATCGGCAGGCGGACTCTCAACCACTGCGCCACCAGGAAAGCCCTGTACATTACTTTTTGATTTCCCAGACTGGCCTACATGGCCTCCCTCTCGCAGGACTGAGGGTGAAGCTTTTATCAGCAGACCTTTCAGCCCAGGCTGAGAGGGGAGGTATTTTGCCCTAGGTCCGACAGGCATTAGGGTGCAAACTCAGGCAGTGGGGCCTCCAGAGGCCCCTCTTAGCCAGCAGTGTGGGTCAGGTAAAGAGCACTGTGGTCATGTGCACAGTGTGCTCCAGCAGCTTATAGTCGAGGAGGGGAGGAATGATGACATGTGACAAAATGTATCTGGGGTGTGTACTGCAGGATGCCCAGAGACCTGGGGGGAGGAAGGGGAATCCCTAATTCATGGGGGGCAGGATGAAGAGATTGCCGTCTCAGAGAGGGTGATGGTTGAGACGGTGATGGTTAAGCTGGGTCTTCTTGAAGGATGAGTGGGAGTCTGTGAGTAGGTTTGTGGGGCACTTGAAGGATGAGTAGGAGTCTGTGAGTGGGCTTGCAGGGGAGGCGGGGAGGGTGTTCTAAGCAGAGGGAGCCGCATGGGGAAAAGCCCAGAGCAGGTTTCAGGAATTGCAGTCATTCCCTCAGGCTGGAGCAGAAGTTTCAAGGGGTGGGGTGATGAGGGATGAGAATTTCAAAGACCTTGGATGTCACCTAAAGGGAGATGTGCTTTATCCTAAAAGCAGAGGGGAGCCTTGGAAAGATGGAAAATGCCAATCAATTTGGTGTCTAGAAAGAGGACTTCGGCTGCAGGGAGAGGGTGTGCGGGAGGGTGCGAGTCTGGAGCAGAGAACAGGGAGCACACAGCAGCAGGGTCCAGGTTGAAAGAGCTGCACGCCAACTCAGCAGGGGCAGTTGGGTCAGGGGCGGGGAGGGTGATGATGGCTAAATAGAGGGATATAGAGACTTGAAAGGCCATTGCCATGCTTCAGGAAAGGGGAACAATGGTATCAAAGAGCAGTGTGATGGGAATTAGTTTGGAGAGATAAAGACAGGTGGGGACCTGTGTGAGGGAGTTTCTAACAAATATATGTGGATTGCTGTTCCCAAGTATCCATTCCAGGCCAATAGGTAGAGGACATATATCTCTGTCCCACTGACTTTGGACTTGGTCATATGACTGGCTTTGACCAAAGGAATATGGGTAGAAGTGATCATGAGCCAGTTCAGGGACTTTAAGAAGCATCACATCATCTCTTTCTTCCTCCAGCTCTCACCATAAAATAACATATAACAGGTAGAAGCAGCAGCTTCAACCTGGGTCCTGGGAGAAGATACAGGGAGCAGATATTCTGGCTGGCTGGCACCCAGAGCAGATCTACAAAACCATGCAGTTGCAACTGCCCTCCAGCTGACGTGTAGTGTGAGTAATAAATAAACCTTTGTGGTCATAAACTACGAGTTGGGGGGGGGGGAATGTTTGTTATGCAGCAAAAGCTAACTGATATACACTATATATATGAGATGAGACGGAAGCAGGTGGTGAAGAACCTCACACGTCATGATTAGGAGTTGTCCACATGGAGAGTCAACAGAGAATTTTGTAGTTGATGAAGCTTCTCCATCTTTTTTCAAAGCCAACCCTCCCCACTCCCTCCTACTCCTCCCAGCACCTTGCTGTATTGTCCATCCCTTCCCTCTCCTGGACTGAATCCTTCCCCTGAGCCTATATCTCACTTATCTTTTCCATTCTAAAGTCCTTTTCTTCACCCTGTCTTCCTCCAACTATAGCTCAATCCCTCCTCTGACTTTCTCAAACAACCTTCTTCAAAGAGTTGACTCTACTCACCATCTCCAATTCTTTCTCTCTCACCTACCAGCCATCTAGCTTACCTGCCCTCCACTCCACCAAAACCACTCGCAGTACATTTCAGTAATCTCCTACTTGCCCAGTGCAATCCAGTCCTTATCTTCCTTGACTGCTCCACACCATTTAGCTTGGAACTAAATTCAGTATCTCCCTGCCCAACCTCAGACATTCCTCTTTCCATATTCTCTCAGCTAGTGGCACCATCAAATGACCCACGACAAAAAGCCAACAGGAGATAATGAATTCTGTTCTGGATTTGTCCAGTCTGCAGTGCCTTTGAGACATCCAAGAGATACCCAAAGGGCAGTTAAACATGTGACTTGGGGGGCTCCCTGGTGGCGCAGTGGTTGAGAGTCCGCCTGCCGATGCAGGGGACACGGGTTCGTGCCCCGGTCCAGGAGGATCCCACATGCCGCGGAGCGGCTGGGCCCGTGAGCCATGGCCGCTGAGCCTGTGCGTCCGGAGCCTGTGCTCCGCAACGGGAGAGACCACAACGGTGAGAAGCCCTCATACCGCAAAAAAAAAAAAACACAAAAAAAACAAGAAAAACATGTGACTTGGGAGCCTACAACAGAGATCTGAACTGGAGGTAAAGATGATTGCTATACAGGTAGCATTTAAAGCCATGAGCATGAGTCAGCTTGTGTATTTATAGAGTACAAGGACCAGATCTTTAAATCTCAGTTGATATATAGAGAGCTCTCCCGAGCTCGTAAATTCCTATTCCTAAGGTCACAATTCCAGCCAACATTTGGTTCCTTCCCTCTGGAGTCATGGCTCACAGTGGCCTCCTCACCACCATCTTGTTTCATATTCTTTGCCCCGATCATGTTGTGTTCCTCAAGAACTCTTATAATTCCATCATAAAAACAGAAGGTATAGGGGCTTCCCTGGTCGCGCAGTGGTTGAGAGTCCGTCTGCCGATGCGGGGAACACAGGTTCGTGCCCTGGTCTGGGAGGATCCCACATGCCGCGGAGCGGCTGGGCCCGTGAGCCATGGCCGCTGGGCCTGCGCATCCGGAGCCTGTCCTCCGCAACGGGAGAGGCCACAACAGTGAGAAGCCAGCGTACCACAAAAAAAAAAACACAAAAAACAGAAGGTATAAGACACCATTATCTAGGCACTAAAATGGCTAAAATTAAAAAGGGCTTCCCTGGTGGTGCAGTGGTTGAGAGTCCGCCTGCCGATGCAGGGGACACAGGTTTGTGCCCCCGTCCAGGAAGATCCCACATGCCGCGGAGCGGTTGGGCCCGTGAGCCATGGCCGCTGAGCCTGTGCGTCCGGAGCCTGTGCTCCGCAACAGGAGAGGCCACAACAGTGAGAGGCCCGCGTACAGCAAAAAAAAAAAAAAAAAAAAAAAAAAAAAAAAAAAAGTTTTAAAAAAATTAAAAAGACAGACAATACCAAATATTGTCAAGGATGTGGAATAATTATGTCTTATACATCGCTGTGGGGATGTAAAATGGTATACTCTATGACCCAACAATTTCACTTCTAAGTGATAACAAATGACCACAAAAGATTTCTACGAGAAATAATAGTCCAGGGACTTCCCTGGTGGCACAGTGGTTAAGAATCCGCCTGCCAATGCAGGGGACACGGGTTTGATCCCTGGTCCAGGAAGATCCCATATGCTGTGGAGCAACTAAGCCCGTGCGCTACGACTACTGAGCCCGCGTGTCTAGAGCCCGTGCTCCGCAACAGGAGAAGACACTGCAGTGAGAAGCCTGTGTACCTCAATGAAGAGTAGTCCCTGATCAGCAAAACTAGAGAAAGCCTGCAAGCAGCAATGAAGACCCAATGCAGCCAAAAATAGAAAAGAACGAATAGCCCAGATTGGAAATAACCCAAATATTCATCAACAGGAGAATAAATACGCAAATGATGGTATATCCATAAAATGGAATACGACTCAGCACTAAAAAGGAACAAACTACTCATATACACAATAACACAGGTGAATTTAACAAACATCACGTTGAGTGAAATAAGCCAGACGTGAAAGAGACACACAGTATGATTCCCTTTATGTGACGTCCAGGAGCAGGCAAAATTAATCAATGGTGAGGAAAATCAGAAAATGGTTGCTTGGAAGGGCGGAAGGAAAATTCACTGGAAATGGGAACTTTCTAAGATGATGCAAATATTTCATATCTCATTTTGGGTGGTGGTTACATAGGTGCAAACAGCTTTCAAAACTTGTTGAACCCAATACTTACCATCTGTGGATTTTATCATATGGAAATTATACTTCAGTTAAAAATTAGGAAAAGAAAATAATTCTAAAGTGTCTAGAAAATGAAAGCTAAAATAAAGACAATGTACAGGGCAGAAAACACATTCAGTTCAAATATATCAATAATTATATTTACGCTGTGAATGCACCTATATTAATGTCCAGCCTCCCCCTTAACCCAGCCCCCCTTTCGGCCATTCTCCCCTCACCCTTGCCCCCATCTCAATGACATCTGTCCATTAGCCATTCTCTAGCCATCAAGAGAGATGATGTAATGCAAAGAGCAGAAGCCTTCGAGCCAGAGAGAGCTGCTTTCAAATCCCGGCTGCAATTTAGGAGCTGAGTGCCCAAGAGCAAGTTACTTGACCTCTCGGCACCTTCATTTCCCCAACTATAAGGGAGGTTGATGATACCTGTTGGGCTGGGCTAAGAAAGGGGCAGTGTGCTGATTAGTTTCTGGGGAACCTAATTCTGTTGACCTCAGCCTGTGAAACCAACTTGCATGTGAAAGGCCCACTGAAGGCCTGGAAAAGCTCAGAGGATGAGACTCCTGGGCTTCTTCTCCCTCAAGGGTAGGGAGGTGGCCCTGGGGCCCTGGTGTTAGGGTCTAGGCTGGTTGGTGCTAAGAGGTGAGCCGGTGGCTCAGAGCCACCAGGGCCAGGAAAAGGCACTGCTGACCTAGGACTAAGGAGACAGGTTTCCTGGCTAGGCCTGGCCACGGGCAGATCTTGCCCAAATCACTGTGCACACCTCTAGAGTTAGTTTCTCCACCAAAGGTGGGCAGATCAGACTGGATCTGAAGAATCTGATACCAAAAACAGCCTCTAGGGCTTCCTAATATATAGAAGAGGCAAAGGCAGAACTGAACCGGTTCTGTCTGAAGCAGGGAAGGTAAGGACCAGAGCCCTGTCGCCTAGGCTCCCCTGCCCCACCATGGTGCCCCTTGAGCCAGGACCCTAGGCTTCTCAGGGGCAAAGTTTGAAATCTCCCTGACCAGGTAAACCCTAGGGACTTTTTCAGCTCTGTCTTATTCAGTCATTGCACACCTGTTACATGTAACAATAACTGGGAATCTGCACCTGCCCCCCAGCCTGGTAGGGGAGACAAGGTACACCCAGAATTAACTCCGAGCAAGGTAGAAAGTGCTGAGTGTAGCCAAAGAAGCGCAGAAGTACAACAGAACATCCACATCCTTCCCCTACGTACACACGCGCGCCCACACACACGCACATACACAGCCCCTTGGCACCTGGCATTTCCTTACTCACTGCAGTATCTCTATTTCGTAGTTATGGAAACTGAGGCTCTCCCTGGGAAAGGGTTTCCCAGCTAGGAGGCATTGAGGCTAGGGCTCCCCCCACCCTCACCCCGAACTTCCTGTCCCCTGAGGCCCACCTATTTCTAAGTAAATGAAGGAGGCAGCAAGGCCTGCTCAGCGGCCAGAAGGAGCGCCAACGACAAGCAGAGCTACAAACACAGCCGCCGGGGTCTCGGGTCTCTCCTGGGGGAGGAGCACGCTCGCTGACAGCCTCCGCGCCTCCCTCCCTCCCTCCCCGGCCCGCGGGAAGATTGGGGAATCTCAAGTCGCTCTGCTTTTTCTCTTCGCGCGCTGACATTTTTTTCCACTTTACTGTTTCTTGGACGCCTTTCAAGAGTTTGTGCAATCATTCTGTTTAGCTGTTTTTCTGCCATTTTCAAACGCGGAGTGGTGTCCCTTTGAGTGGGAACGTGGTGGTTTGAAGACCTGAAGGGCTTCGCCTCCCATCACCCCGATGCAGCAGGCCTGGTAGTTGCCAAAGTTACACCGTTTGAAACTTTCCCGGTGCTGGGTGTTGGGTTGATCCTCGGCTCTCTGAGCTCCCCGACCTCTCCCGCTCCGTGCCCCGGCTCTCGGGGGTTCCTGCAACCCTCACTTCACCCTCCCAGGCTCCCCCTTCGCGGAGGCATCCTCTTCCCATCTGGTCCTGGGCGATGGAGCCCTTCCCCCACCCTGCTCCATACACGGGGGCAGAACCCTCTCTCCTTTCGAGACTTCCTCGGTGGTCCAGCTCCACGCCCCCTGAGCCTGCCCTCTCCCGCCTCCACCTCGCGAACCCCGTGGGAAGCCCACCCCGCGGCCCTTCCGGCCCGAGTCTGGAAGGCTGGGCAGAGGCAGGGACAGGATGGGGACAGAGACGGGGTCGGAGTAGGGCGCAGTGGTAGCGACAAGAACAAAAGCGGGGACACAGGCAGGGCAGCAACAGGGCAGGGCCAGCGCGGTGGCCCGTCCTCTCCCCGCGCCGCCCTCACTCGGCGCCCGACGCCCCGGGCCGGGCAGGGCTCGCGCCCTCTGGGGGCTCGGGCTGCGCCCCGCGGGACCCACCTGATCTGCAGAAGCTGGGCGCGCTCGGGGCTGACCTGCGCCTCGGCTCCCGGCCCCGGCGTCGTCCTCGGCTGCCCGAACAGTCGGCGCGCTGCCTCTGCCCGAGCCCGGCGGGGCGTGCCGGGGCGGGGTGTGC